TTCCTTAGAGGTTTTTAAGATCAGGCTTGACAAAGCACCGGCAGGGATGATTTGGTTGGTGTTGGTCCTGCTTTGAGCAGGGGGTTGGACTAGATGACCTCCTGAGGTCCCTTCCAACCCTGATATTCTATGATTCTATGAAACTGCTTCCCCCCACCCACTAGGCCAGTAACTCTGACTGCTAGACGTGGCTTTTCTTACTGGGGCCTTTAAAATCTCCCCTATTGCTCCTCAAGGAGCCAACAAAGGGTGTCTGGGAGTTCAGAAATGGTCCAATTGCCTGGTATTGTGTCTGTCGCTGCGGGAGGCGAAACGAGATCCAGCACTGTCAGCAGTGGCGTGGTAGGACCCGTGCGATGGATGCTGAGTGCCGGAAATGGGACGTCTGGGCCACAGGTGCAGGTAGCAGAGGCACTGAGGAGACGGCACCTGGTGCAATGAAGGCGAGAGCTCCGGGCGTGATGCATCGGTGCGGCAAACAGTGGTGCCAAAAGCACCAGCAGCAGCACCAGCAGCAATGACTGTGCCGCAAGCAGTGGTGCTGAGAGGCCACCACCAAGTGAAATCCTCTCTGGGCACCAAGGGATGAGCCAGCAGCGGAACCAAGGACTCAGGATTCCTGCTCTCTGGGCGCCAGAGGGACCAGGGATTGGCCTCGAGCTACCCTTCTTAAGTGACACAGAAAGAGGTGACGTAGCAGGCACCTGAGGAGGAGATCTACTCCTGTGCTCCTTGGCAGGATGGCGTCCATCACACTCGAGGTCACTAACCGGGGCAGGCACAGCCTTAGAGGCGGAAGAGATGGCTGCCAGGGTACTTTTTACACAAGGGTGATCGGTCCTAGGAGGATCCTGCATCTCTTCAGGGACTGAGCCTGGCCTCCTAGACTTCTCCAGGAGAAATCCCTTCAGTCTAGTCTCCCTGGATTTCACAGCCCGTTTGGGGAGGGCTCTGAAGTCCCTGCACTGCTCTCTACCGCGTGTCTGTGAACCCAGACAATACAGACACTTAGAGTGTCTGTCGTTCCGGGCATGGCAGAGCCACATAAGGGACATAATTTAAATCCTGGGGACCAAACCCCCCATATGTGGAGAAGACAGGAACTGCTCACCTCAGAGTCCTACCCCCCATATCACGATTCATAGACTCCAAGGCCAGAAGGGACCATTGTGACCTCCTGCATAGCACAAGCCAGAGACCTGCCCCAAAATAAATCCTAGAGCCGATATGTTAGAAGAAAAGACAGTTACCTTTTCCATAACTGGTCATTTCGAGATGTGTTGCTCATGTCTATTCCGCAGTAGGTGTGCGTGCTCGCCACGTGCACCGGTGCCAGAAGTTTTTCCCCTACCAGTACCCATATGGGAGTGCCCCCCGTGACCCCTGGAGTGGCACCTGCCTGGCGCGGTATAAGGGGAGCAGCGCGCTCCCCCCACCCTCAGTTCCTTCTTGTCAATCAACTCCGACAGAGGGGAAGGAGGGTGGGATGTGGAATAGACATGAGAACACATCTCAAAGAACACCATTTACGGAAAAGGTAACTGTCTTTTCTTCTTCAAGTGACTGCTCATGTGTATTCCACAATAGGTAATTCCAAGCTATATCTGTTGGAGGTGGGTAGGAGTTCACAAGTTCTCAGGACAGAGTACCGCCCTGCCGAACCTGGCGTCATCCCTGGTTTGGTAGGCGAGGTGAATGTGTGAACCGAAGACCACATGGCGGCCCTACAAATGTCCTGGATAGGGATGTGGGCCCCAAAGGCAGGCAATGAGGCCTGTGCCCGGGTCGAGTGTGCCCTCAGAATGGGTGGCAGGGGAACGCCCGCCAGCTCATAACAGGACTGGATGCACGAAGTGATCCAGTTGGACAGCCTCTGAATGGAGATCGGCCGAGGGGACAAACAGTTATGAGGACTTCCTGAACTGCTTAGTCCTCTCGAGGTGAAAAGCCAAAGCCCGCTGCACGCCGAGCGTGTGGAGACGGCACTCCTCACTGGATGCATGAGGCTTGGGGCAGAGGACTGGTAGAAAAATGTCCTGACCCATGTGGTATGCGGAGACCAACTTAGGGAGGAATTCGGGGTATGGGCGGAGCTGGACCTTGTCCTTGTGAAAGACCATGTATGGGGGTCAGGGCCCTAAGCTCCGAGACACGTCTAGCCGACGTGATAGCAACCAGGAAGGCCACCTTCCATGAGAGGTGAGACCAGGAGCACGTGGCCAACGGTTCAAAGGGGGCCCCGTAAGACAAGCTAAGACCAGGTTTAAGTCCCACTGTGGAATCAGGGGTCTAGAGTATGGGAAGAGGCGTTCCAGACCTTTAAGGAACCGGACAGTCATAGCATGGGAGAACACCATGTGTCCTTGCATTGGGGGATGGAAGGCCAATATGGCCACCAGGTGCACTTGACCGACAAGGGTGCCAGGCCCCGGGGTCCTCAGGTGGAGGAGGTAATCAAGGATAAGCTGGATAGGGGCAGACCCTGGAGAGACACCCTGGTCCACCGCGCACTTAGAGAATCGTGACCACTTAGCCAAGTAAGCGCAGCGAGTGGAGGGCCGTCTACTTTCAAGGAGGACACGCTGAACCTGTTCCGAGCACTCCCTCTCCTCTCCCCCTAACCATTGAGCAGCCACACTGTGAGATGGAGAGCCGCCAGGTTGGGATGGAGGAGGCGGCCCTGGTCCTGTGAGAGCAGATCCGGGCGGAGCGGTAACAGCCACGGCGGAGCTACCACCAGGCTCATGAGGGTCCCGTACCAGTACTGCCTGGGCCACGCCGGGGCAATCAGGTGGACCTGGGCCTTGTCCAACTTTATCTTTTCCAGGACCCTGCTGATTACAGGGAACGGGGGAAAGGCATAGAGAAGCCTGCCTGACCAGGACAGGAGAAAGATAGCATCGGAGATAGCGCCACTCCCCAACCCCCCTGGAGCAGAGCCGGGGGCATCGCCGGTTCTCTCGAGTCGCAAACAGGTCCACCTGGGGAGTTCCCCACCTTCGGAAGAGCTGGTGGGCCACTTCTGGGTGAAGGGACCACTCGTGTTGCGAGGAGAAGTCCCTGCTTAGCCGATCCACCTTTTCGTTCCAGGCGCCTGGTAAGTGGGAGGCCTTCAGGTGGATATTGTGGACTTCAGAAGTCCCACAGCCTGAGGGCTTTGTGGCAGAGGGCGGAAGATTGGGCCCCGTCTTGCCTGTTGATATAGCACATGGAGGCCATGTTGTCCATGAGGACCTTAACTACCTTGCCCTCCAGGCGCGAGCGAAAGGCCATACACGCCAGCCACACCGCCCTGAGTTCTTTGACATTTATGTGTAGATTTGGGTCTTGAGCCGACCACAGGCCTTGGGTCTGAACGCTCCGCATGTGGGCTCCCTAACCCAGGTCCGACGCATTGGACACCAGCTCCAATGACGGGACCTTGTCCCTGAACGGGACCCCTTGGAGCATGTTGCTTGGGGTGGACCACCACCTCAGGGAGGTGTTCACCGAATCTGGCACTGTGAGGACCTTGTCCATCCCGTCTGTGGCCTGGGAGAAATTCGAGGCCAGCCAGAGCTCGAGGGGTCTCATCCTGAGTCTGGCATGATGGACCACGCACGTGCACAGTGACATATGACCGAAGAGCTGCAGGCAAACCCTGGCTGTTGTAACCGGGAATCTCGTGACCGAGTCGATGAGACCCTTTAGGGTCTCAAACCTGTGTGGCGGGAGAGAGGCCCTGGCCGACACTGCGTCCAGGAGCACCCTGAAAAACTCTATGCGTTGGACCGGGACGAACATGGACTTGGTGTTGTTTACTAGTAGGCCCAAGGTGGTGCACGTGGACAGGAAGAGCGCCACGTGATCCCTCACCTGCAACCGGGAGATGCCATTAACAAGCCAATCATCCAGATAGGGAAATATCTGGACCCCCCCACCATCTGAGGTAGGCCACTACCATCGACGTGCATTTTGTAAACACCCTGGGGGCAGTGGACAGTACGATTCTCCAGTTTGGAAATTGGTAATGATTGTGTCCTACCACAAACTGGAGGAAGTGCCTGTGCCCCTCGAATATGTGAGCCTGGGGCCTAATGGGTATCGAGGACTGCCCAACATGGGCCTAGCCTCTGTCCCAGACTTCCCTCGGTGCCGTTGCAAGGAGTGAGTCTTCTTGGTCCTTTTGGCGTGTTCCGTGGATGGGCAGAGCTGCCAAATGGTCGATGGCAACAGTTGATCGCCGCGTACTGACAATGAGGTGCCTGGTACCAGCTCGGAGCGGTGTGCTCCATCAGGAAGGTCTGGAGCCTAATGTCTCTTTCCCTTTCGGTCTGGGGCTTAAATGCTCTCCAAATTTTGCACCTTTCGCTGATGTGGGTTTCTCCCAAGCAGCGCAAACAGACTGTGTGCGGGTCGCTTCTTGGCATAGAATGCCGACAAGAACCGCATGACTTAAACCCCAGGGCACGGGGCATGCCCCAGCCTGGGCTCACTGACTAACTAAAATTAACTATGCAGCTAACTAATTACAGGTACTAAACGAACGAACAGGGGACGAGCTACAGCGAAGTTGGAGCAGAGCACTTCCGACGCACCTTCACTGGTGGCAAGAAGGAACTGAGGGTGGGGGAAGCGTGCAGTGGCCCCTTATAGCGCGCCAGGCAGGTGCCACCCCAGAGGTCGCGGGGGGCACTCCCCCCTATGGGTACTGCTAGTGGAAAAACTTCCGGCACTGGTGCACGTGGTGAGTATGCACACCTACTGTGAAATACACATGAGCAACATTTGAAGAAGAACATCCCGTCTTCATTTACAAATTGTCAGGGATGGAGAATCCACCACGAACCTCAGTAAAGTGTTGGTTAATTACCCTCACTATAAAAAATTTACACCTTATTTCCAGTTTCAATTTGTGTAGCTTCAACTTCCAGCCGTTGGATCGTGTTCGACCTTTCTCTGCTAGATTGGATATTTGTTCCCCGATATTTACAAATTGTAACCAAGTCACCCTTTAACCTTCTCTTTCTTAAACTAAATAGATCGAGCTCTTTGAGTCTATCACTATAAGGCATCTTGTCTAATCCTTTCACCAGTCTTGGGGCTCTTCTCTGAACCCTCTTCAATTTATCAATATCCTTGTTGAATTGTGGGCACCGGAACTGGACACGGGGTTCCAGCATCAGTTGCACCCCTGCCAAATACAGAGTATCCGACTCGAGAGTCCCCTGTTTATACATCCCAGAGTCGCATTAGCGCTTTTGGCCACAGCATTGCACTGGGAGCTCATGTTCAGCTGATTATCCACCACGACCCCCAAATCTCTTTCAGAGTCCCTGCTTCCCAGGCTAGACTCCCCGACCCTGTACGTATGACCGACATTCTTTGCTCCGAGGAGAGGGAGTCTAAGACTGAAATCCTCCCTACAACAGGAGAGTTCAGCTCTAACTAAACCACTATCTCCAGTACCAATTATTAACTATCAAAATGACTATTTACAAAACGTAAAGAGAAAAACTTCAGCGGCGCAGGAGACCGAACACTGCTGCTGGCTCTGTCTCTCAGCCAGGGGCTGTGAGAAGGAACTGAGGGTTGCCTGGTTTTCTCAACCCTCATTGTGCCCTCGGTAAGAGGGGGCTTGAGGACATGGAGAGCGCAGCTAAAGCATTCTGATCTCCAGTGCATGGGGCACATGGGCACCAGAAGTGCAGCACATCCAGCAAGCAGTCAACACCAATGGAGGTTACAGTGCGGTACAAACATATCCCACTCTGTCACACCAGTAATCCCGTTACCTTGCCAGTGTAGGGGATTCCAGTCTTGTAGGTCTCGTCAGTGTCCTCAAAGGTCACCGTAGCGATTTCAGACACGATGTCACAGTTCTTGGTCGCGCTGAGCTCCACCCCTAGCAGGAGAGGGAGGGACAATAGGAGGAAGGTGCCAGGAGAGCCATCAGAGTTCAGGCTACGTCCCAGATTTCTCTCCATAACAATCCGTGCAGCCATTTTTACCCCCTCTCGCTATGGACTGGAGGGTGTGATTTGGGGGAGAATTTGGGAGGTTCGGCTGGAGTCGGAGAAGGATTTTCCTGGGGAATCTGGAAACTAGAAAATTTAGATCCACCTTCCCCCGGGGCTTAATCCCAAACCAGCCACTTGACATTTGCCAGCAGGGTCTCCTGGCTCTGCGGCCCTTTCCCCAGCAGAGAGCTCCTTACTGAACAGCCCCAGAGCTGACCCGGCACACAGGCCTCTCGGCACAGGGCCTGCCCCCAGAAAGGGCCGTTTTCAAAAGTGCCCAGTGACCCCTTGCCGTTCTGGACCCGCTCTCCTCCAGCCACTTCACCATCGCTGATGTCAGCACCCGAGGATAACGTTGTAGCCACCCCACAGTTACAGTTTTCAGCCAAACGGGTGTCGGCTGCTCTGGAAATCAGGATTCTTCTGGGCTAAATGTGGAGTTATCTGGGTTCGTTGCTAAGTGATTAGCACTTGCAGTTTTGAACGCTAAGCGCTAACGTCACTGAGGCTGTGACTCAGGGCCCAGCGACACAGGCTGGGCCTTCACTCTGCTCTGCCAGCTCAGTGCACAGCCAGAGGCCACTCGCGGGAGGGTATTTAGTCTTTGCATGAATGTGTCCAGGTCTGAGCTCCTCATGAGGGATCGATCCCAGTGATGGGCTGAACCAGAACTCCAGATCCAACCCCCAACGCTACCTCTGGGCCTGTCTCTAAAGCAGCTGGGCTACAAATGACATGACCACACGTGCAAGTGAGCCCCCTCTGCCCCTGGGGGTTCAGTGCTGGGGGCTGCCAGGCTGGGGGTGTCCATGTGTGCTTGTTTTCAGTCCCACCTGTCCCCTCCTCCACGAGAGACGCGTTGGCCTGGAGGCTCATCTTGTAGCCAGAGTGGGTCAGGTTGAAGGGAGCCGTCCCCACCTCTGTGGAAAAGCAGCCGTTGCTCTCAGTCTGGAGGGAGAGAATCACAGCCCGTTAGCAGCAGCTCTGCACCAGGCCCCGCAGATGTCAGCTCAGCAGGTCTCTAATCAGGCTTGGCCTGGTTAGTGCCAGGACAGGAGAAAACCTGGGTGCTGAAGTCAGCAGCAGGGGGCGCTCTCACCTTGGAGTCAGCCCTGACACCAGTACCCCAGCACGGCGCTAGGGGGCGCTGTGTAGCTGGAGCTGCTTTGGGTGGGTTGAGACGTAAAACAGGCCGTGTCCACCCGTGCCCATCACAGATCCCCTGGTGCTTGTCCCCCATCGTCGTGGTAACGCTGGCTAATTCTAATCACCCCCCTAACTCCCCAGGGACTCAGAGCATTCGGGGAGATCTGTATCGTTCCATTGCCCCTGCCTAACGAGAGCTGCTGATGAGGAAGGGCGGCCCTGTAACTTGGGGCACTAGCCTAGGTCTGGAGAGACCTGGTGGCAAGTCCCTGCTCTGCCACAGGCTGCCTGCAAGTCCCTCTGAGTACGGCTCCAGCAGAAACACCCTGCGGCCGTGAGTCTCCGAGCCCAGCCCTGCTGACCCCGCTTGTGCTGCGGGGCTAAAACCAGCAGGTCAACGGTTGGGTCCAGGCGCTAGACCCGGGGAGGGGGAGGGTCTCGGTGCCCAGGCTCCAGCCGAGTTTCTACACTGTTCCTTTAGCCCCACGGCGCAAGCCCCAGGCAGTAGAGCTGGGCTCGGAGACACTGCCGCAGGGTTCTTGCTGCGCAGACGGACCCTGAGCATCTCCGTGCCTCAGTTCCCCATCTGTACAATGGGGACAGGAGTCTGCCCCACCTCCCGGGGGCTAGGAGGATCAGTGAAGCACTGAGATATTGTGGGGAAGCGGGGGCTGTATAAGTCCCTAAGCCAGCTACAGAGCTGGCAGTCTCCAGTCCCAGCCTGCCAGATGGGGACCCAGATGGATCCAGGGCCTGATTCGCCTGCACTTACACCAGCTTTACATCAATGTCACCAACCTCATCAGGGCAGATCACAGCGCCCCCTCTGGCCAGTGTAAGAAAAACATGGAGAGGAGCCTCCTCCAGCAGCATGTCATGTACCTCCCCCCGCCCCAGTCACACTCACCTGGCCAGTAAGCTCCGTGCACAGAGCCCCGGTTCGCTTGGCATGAAGATAGTCACAGGGATCTGCTGGTTTTTCTTCCCGACACAGTCTGGCGTGGACCCTCCCCAGGACGGGCTTCCCATAGGTGTATCTGTTTAGCAGAGGGGAGGGAGAGTGTAAGTGGGAGGGGAGGGGGCCAACGCCCCTGCCCATGGGGGGGTCCCTGCTGCGGTGGGGCTGGTCATGTGGCTGGGAGTGAGAGCCCCAGGGAGCCCTGCCTGGCCATGAGCATGGGGCAGAGGGGCGCAGGCTGGGAAGGGGCAGGTCAGATTCTGGCCTGGGGGGCGGGGGAGGAAGGTCCAGGGCAGTTCCAGTCCCCCCCTTATTAGCCCGGCAGGGCTGGTTTCACACTCACCGGCCGCACACCTGCAGCAGGAGCGTCTCATCCAGCACCGTCACCACGGGGGGCAGCTCCAGGGTCACTTTGAACTTGGGCAGCACTGGGGGCAGAGAGGGACGGGGTGAAACCGACCCGCAGCCCCGGCTCGGGGGTTTCATCGCGATCCTCGGCCTTGGAGCTTCTCCCTGGGTCTTGCAGCCCCCCACCAACCTGCTGGCCGGGCGGGAAGGGGAAGGGCCCGGAAATGGAGCAGAGCTGGGAAGAGGCTGCAGCAGGAGCCTCAGCTGGCAGGAGTCTTTTCAACCCCACTGACAATAAACTGAAAAACAGCCTCTGTCCCCCACTGCCTGGCCCCAATGGTTAAGGGCAGGGGCAGCGCCAGGGACGACATGGGCTCGAGAGCTGGTGTTCGGGCCAGGGTCTATGTGGGGCTGAGAGCGGGGATGTGCCAGGGTACATGTGGGGCTGAGAGTGGGGACGCGCCAGGGACCACGTGGGGCTGAGAGCGGGGACGCGCCAGGGACCATGGGGGCCCAGGGGACGTGGGCGTTTCTCCCGGCTGATGAGGTCCCAGCTGTTTCCCTCTGGGAGCTGGTGTTCGGCTGGGACCTCGTCCCCAGCAGGCCCCCGCCAGGCAGCCTGGCCAGACAGGGCCAAATTCACCCCTGGGCTCAGCCCAGAGGAGCCGGGGGGCTGCTCCATGGCAGTTTGTCCCTCAGAGTCTGGGCCGTCCTGGGGCACTGACAGTAGCTGGCTGGGCAGCTCCGAGGCCCAGAAGCCCCAAGAGGGGAGCATGTGTTGGTGAATGTGCAGCGCTGGGATGGGCCAGTGAAGGGGGGGGTGTTTGTGGGTTCTTCATTTTTCCCTTATGGTAGGGGAGGGGGGATTGGCCAGTAGGAGAAGGATGGGAGTATTGCGGGGGCCTCAGGGGCAGGGTGTCTGAGGCGAGGGTGGGGGTGGGAGGCAGTTGGGGGGTCAGGGGCAGGTGTCTGGGGCGAGGGGGGATAGATGGCAGCTGTTTCAAGGGAGACATCAGAGCTCTTCTCTCCCCCTCCCCCGCAGGAGCCAGAGGAGGTTTTGTGGGGGGGGAAATGGAGAGGGGGCCGCTGACATTTCCTTCCCCCTCCCAGGAACACCAGCTCTGGGAAGGGTGTGTATGTGTGAAGAGCCCCTTGTGCTCCAGGAGGAGCAGAGGTGGGGCTGGGGGGGGGCACAGGGCAGATGTGGGTGCTACCCTGGGCCCCGCTGCGT